ACACCTGCGGTGCGTCAAAGGTTTTCTTATCAGGCAGGTCCAGGGGGATGGCGCATGTCTTTTTCGAGCCGTTGGTTAGTTTGCAGTGCATCTTAGAGCCACAGATATATTTGAAATGAATCATCAGGATGAGTGTGTATGTGAGGAAAATTTGAAGTCTTTCTACCTTAGGATCCCCGAGCAGGTCCATTCAAAAACATCACTACGTTTTGCAGCAGACCAGATCTACGGAGATGAAGAGATGCACGAAGAAGTGAGGCGGCTTTGTATGGATTATATGGTAAGTATTATGCTTCAGTTCAGTCTTTTTGAGAATATTTTAATTGCTGAAGCTGCAGATGAGGGCCGAAGGACCAGCATATCTACATCTGCTGTATGGAACCGTCTCAGTGACATTAATAACGTTAGGTCTCCACACTGATTTTTAGAGTTTCCTTGGTGATCTGAAAGTTATTCTTGCAGTATATACTCTTGCTGTCATCCTTTAGTCCAGATCGTGGTTGTGTTTAATACCAATCAGATATGAGCTTATAATTCTCCCTTCAGAAAAGGGAACTTCCAGTTTGTCTAAAAAAAGATCCCATCTTGCTTTGCTTCTCACAGAATTACTGTTTTTTCCTTGACTGTTGCTGTTAACGCATACCCTTCCTTTCATTGAAATTTTCTGGCATGGCGATTTCGTCTGGGAGCTCTCTGTGGATTAACCAGTTGAGCTATTCGTTTTTGGCTTCGGATTCACAGGTTTTCTGTCTTTTTATGTCTGGATCGAAAAATTGGATAGTGCACTTCCTCGTCCTTCGGATTATTCGGGAACGGATAAGCTCACGTATATATCGCGGGGAGTGTTGGTCTTGTTAACAGTGTATGCCAATGAAAACTGGTTTGCCACTTTTTCAATGCATTCGAGAGTCCTTGCGTAAAACTAGCCTCAATTTCTTTGTCTGTTAAGTGAACCACATAGTCTTCTTTCCATTTTTTGTGCGTTGTGCAATGCTGTCATAAGATTTTGGCAAATTTTGCAGGAGAAGAACACTGACTACTTTTCGCAGTTCGTGACAGAAAATTTTTGTGATTATATTGCTCGGAAAAGACGTCGCGATGCTCATGGTAATCATATCGAACTTCAGGCAATCTCCGAAATATTTTCACGGCCAATTGAAATCTATGAGTACTCTACAGGTTCGTTTTTCCCGTTTTTGTTATTTGAGTGGACTTCATCTTTTACATATCGAAATTAGATTTATTCCAGAGCCGCGAAATATTACCGGTTTTCGCCGGGATGGTACTGCGCCTGGTGGTGCTTATCCTCCAATTCGTCTTTCTTATCACGGCTCCGTTCACTACAACTCAGGTCTCTTCAGATCTTGTCTCAACAGACTCTTATACTCAGCAGACTCAATTTCAAGCACTTTTTGCGTTAGAGAGTTATCACGTGACACTCTGCTCCTTGTATTTATATGCCAGTATCACGTGTACGGTTTAGTGGTTGATCCCAAAAAACCTACTGTTGGAATTGGTTTGGGATTGCCTGGCTATGCGCTTGGTTCGGGAAGCACAAATCTTATGTCAAAGATGGCCAAAAATTCGGACGTGCAAATGCTTGAAGATGCAATGCTGAGCGACAAAATCAATCTGACCGATATGGAGCAAACGGAACGTGAAATTGTTGAGCAGTTAAGCTTTTCCACTTTTATGTGGGAAGAAGAATTATCTTTTTAGAATTGATTAATAAGAATTTGAGGTGGTTACACTCCGCTCTATTTGTCCTGTTTCAGGTGGCGCACAGGCCTTATTTGGAGTATCTGAAACGTATTGACAAGGTTGGCCATGCGTTTGTTGATGACAGCAGTGAAGTCAGCAGCGCATCCGAACCTGGCTGCTCACGCTCTGTTGCTCGAGCAGAAGCAAGCAAAGGTAATGCATTTGGCACTTCACAAAATTTTTATTGTCACGTCCGGATCGCAGCAGTGACGACCTGTGTTAACCAGTACTTTTTGGTAAATCACATTGGAAGCGTTACGTTGAGCCCCCGGATTCCTTTGCTTAAAATAGGTTAGGGTGGGCAGTTTGAAGACTTAGTTTTGTTCCAGATATGTAGTTTTTGTGAGGCAAAACAGGTGCAAGCAGTTATTTCTGTACTAGCAAGAAGCGTTTTCGTTACCGCAGATCTTTTTTTAGGCCGAGATCTCATTTGTTCCGTTCATTCTGTTGGCCTTCTTTTACAAATTGTTTGCATTTGTTTTGCGGCAGCAATTTTCATTCTTTGTGAGCTTAGGTTGTTATGAGTGGCTCCATGCGGCTACGACGGATGATGAAGAAAGCGCACTGCTGGCACAGGTGATGGCTCTCTCAAAGCATGAGTTTCTCAATTCGCTCGATAAAAATTCTTCGAAGGATGGAAATGATGAAGACAAAGCTTGCTCCAGCAAATCGAACTGAGACTGAAGATCTGAATGATCTTTTGTGTTAATTTGTTATTTCTAATGTTCGGTATACAGTTGTGGGCATTGCTCTTAAGGCTTAGTTGTATAATACCGCATTATAGTTTCCTGGTGCTTGTGGCCATCCTTTGTGCGCATGTGTACTTTTTTCTCTCACATATTGGTCTGGTATTGATTCCATTGAGATTCGGTCGATCTGGACTCTGCTGTTTCAGTCTCATTGTAAAATACTTCCCACCCACATGATAGTATTTTTTTTTTTTTTTTACTATAACTGTTGCTGTTGAGACATACACAAATTCGCTTCTTGTCCACAGCTTTTGTTATTAGATAACTCCTAGCTGGTTGGATGTAAGTCACTGCCGAAATTGCTTCTGGAATTCTGAGCCCTGCTGTCTCGGTCAATTTTTCCTTGTAGAACTTAGGTATTGACCGAACTGAACAGTTTTGAATGCATCGCAGTTTTTTTCTATCGGTGATGTTTTAAACCCGTTTGAATTCATTCACCTTCGCTTAAAAGTGCATTTGCCGGATCCTTTCCCTGTAGACTTTTTTAGTTCCTGCAAACCTTGCTGCTTTCAGTCAGATTAAAAAAAACTTCCAGTGGCAAGTCGGACATCTTTACTAGTACTCGAAATCCTTTCCTCCATCTCTAAGTTCGTTGCTTCGCACCGCAGCTGTGCTCGCAAATTTTTGTCCAGTCACTGAACTAATACCACGCGCCTTTGTGTACCATAGCAAATCAAATATTACAGTATCATCCTAAAATGCCGGTCTCAAATGGTTGTCGCAGTATTTTCAAAACATCTATGTTGCAGCGTTTGAGCTTGCTCGAATTCGGATATTTCTTTCATGTGCATCAACAGTAAGACCGGTCTTTTTTTGTCTTAAAATACTTGCTTCTGTTTGTGAAATGCACAGATGTGTTTTTTCCCTCTTCAGATTGCTTTTGATAATTTGATGCATTGGTGACACGACAGCACTTATCCAGAATTTCCAAGCCAAATTTTAGTAGCGGTAGCGCCACTGTATTTCTGTTTGCCTTTGGAGCACCTGATCGGATTTGTGTAGGTCTGTGCAGCTCTTCATCTAATGTGCCACGCAGAAGACGTATCATATGGATTGGCCAGCTTTGGAATTGCCGCTGTTCATGCTGTTTTGAGTTTGTATGTTGGTTAATATTTTCGTAATTTCAGGTATTTTTATTCTCGACTTTATTGGTTCTGATTGTTTGTTTAGATGTTTGATAGCTGTGTTAAAACTGTCTTTCATGTGTTCTTTTTTTGTATTTTTCAGAAGTGAGTGCTTCAATTGCTGTCCTTTTTGAATAATTTCAGCTTAACCTTTTTGCTCTTTACTCGTAAAGTATGTACGAAGTGAACCGTGCTGATTGGCTCGTCGAACGGCGTGCTGGTCACTGTTCGTTTCTGAGTTTGTGTTAACTTTATTGACCGCTACCACTTTGAAGTTCCAGTCTTTCATGAAGCACTGACTTATCACGTATTCTAGTCATTTTGCATGGTTCCCGTTTTCGTCACGTGATGTGATCGGGTGAAGTCACCCTCGCTTCTTTCAGAGTACATATGTGAAATTCTTGTTTTCCTTCCAAAGCTACTTATAAGTAATTGCCATGTGATAACTAAAAAATAAAAATTAATAATTTGTCGACAGAAACTCTCCAGTATATGTATGTGTGTGCGAATATGCGCGTGTTTTTTTGTCCGTTTTTTTTTGTCAGGAGTACTGACTCACCAACCAGAAAAGCTACGAACCTGAGATGTTAGGGCGGCGTCTCCTGCTCAAATTGAACACCACAAATTTTAATTCGGCTTGCATGTTCACTCAGATGCACTAAAAGTTTTGGCGGAGATTTTTCCACTTCGAAATAGAAGACAGAAATCTGAAATTCTGAGATGTTTCCTGCCACTGGGCGATTCTGAGAGTTTAGATTCAGTCCTTGCGTACTCTGCGCTTTACCTACGGGTATTTGGATATCATGCGCGGAAAATTGGCGCCATACTAACTTCGCTGAGCGGAACTGCGAAGGACGTACGGTCGCACTGGCTATCTGCTGCGAATGAGAGGCGAAACACGCTCGTGCAGTGCTGCTTCTGCTAATTGGCGGGCCTGGGGTATTCCAAATTCATGAAGCACGGTGAATTGTGGTTTGCTGGTTGCTGAAGCTGAGCTGCTGGTTCCGATCGCAGCGTCGGGAAGAGTTTTGCGGGTAAACTTTGGTCTGGACCTTGTCACGAGTGCTTTCAAGCGAGCTTTGCATATAAAACCCTCTGCCATAATAGCAACATGCAAATTCGCTCCTCGGAGCGGATGCCTTCCTTTAGCTGGGAAAAGAGTAGCGGCCCCCAATCAGCATACAGGGAAGGTGATACTGGAATTGAGCCGGCGCTGTGTTGGACCTTGTGTTCTTCACTCGTCTAATAAGATGCGAGATAATCACTCGCTTAAACGCATCCTCGATTACAAGCACCTCCCGTCCTGACCACATTTCCCCTCCAGATGTTCCTTAAAACAGCGACATCATCGATACTAAATAAGCAGGGCCGTTTCCGTTTGACACCACACCCCAAAACACTCAGTGGTACTACTAAATCTGGTGTTATTTGCGTGTGCAGTTTCCGCCTTGAGACACTCTGATGCAGTGGAGCATGATAAACAGCAATTTTTATGCATTTCTGCATTGCACAGATGCAAAAACGCATACCGTCAAATTGTATGTGTGTGTATGTGTGCGTCTGTAACGAGTCTTTATCTCGGGGTTTCACCCCATCCCCAAAATGGCCGCTCCTGTTCGCGTTGTTCTCATGTACGGGCACGTGAAAGTTTTTTGTCGGGAAAGCGTTTTCGGGGACGGTGCAAGCTGAGAAGCGGAAACTTCACTGAGATGCTATTTGGCCGCTTCTAATTCAAAGACTTTAAATTCAGCCTTCATACATCCCTACGTCCCACGTGCACACACCTCGGAGTTTAAGCTGGCAACCAATTTCAGATTTAAGCTGAACAAGAAGTTGCAGGGAGTTGCAATTTTGCAGTATTACTTGTCGCTCACTACTGCACCCGTGCAAGTAACTTGAGCTTCCCAGCCCCTCTGCATCTCACGTAAAGACACGTGAAAATTTGACGGAGGCATTTTTGTAACTTCAGAACTGAAGCAGCTAGAGGACTGGAACTTTCTGAGCATAGCCGATAGTGCCGTTTGACCAAATGGACATAAAAACAAATTCCACGTCCCTTTCACCTCAGGTACGAACATGCGAAATTTGACGTAACTCCGCAACAAAAGCAGCTGGAGTGCTGAAACTTTCTGAACGTTGTTCAGGAACATGTTTGAGCAGGCGCACGCGAAAACGACGTCCACGTTGCCCTCCAATTACGAACACATGGAGTCTGACGTGACCCTGTAACCAAAGCATTCAGGGCGCTGGATTTTTTCAGTGTGGAATGAGAGTCACTGTCATAATTCCTAACAGTCGTGGCCGTTACTCGCAACTCTCTTAACTAGGAATATCTGCCAGGAAAAACAGCGCCGTTAGCAACAAAAACCTGCGGAGGGACAGTGTAAAAAAACGCATCTTCGCACCGACAGCCGCTGCGTCGTCGACGAAGTTCACTTGTTCGGAGGATTTTTCCGCAAGAAACGTACCACTCCCGGTTTTTTATCGGATGTTGTATTCCACAATTTTTCGTAGTTAAAGAGCAGTTTTTTGTAACTTTCGGAAAAACTGCCGGAGCTGTTTCCCTGCCACAGAAAAGCACACGAAGCTATGATCCTGTCAACGTTCGGAAGCTAGATAATAATAAACTCATGAATTCCGCAGCTTGTAGATAAGGTAGAAATGATTTGAACCTTCGCACGTACCCAGGACTACCCGCTAATTCGGAGGAAGTGGCAGTGCATCGGCGGACTGCTTCGGCTAGATTGCAAAGCCCTCACCTCATCCACTACAACGAGCCTCGCCGCAGTAGTTCGAGTTATTCTGTAAAATGAGGTGCAAACTGTGGGTACTAGCTTTCTCCACTTCCAGCTCAATATATTCATACACTTTTAACAACATGCGCAGGCGGACGTTCTGAAGGTACGTGATTTATCAAATAAACTGGAAGTAGTGCACTTCATCCACTGAGAAACATTGATATTAGGAATACATGCAAAATACAAATCAGTGAGCGCCTGAGTCGTGCAAAAAAAAAAAAAAAAGCAGGATAAATGCAGTAGTTTGATGGCCCATTACAATCTGACAAATCTTCTTTAGGATTCTAAACTGAGAAATTAGCAATAAAATCCAGACTCAATTTCAAAAGGGAATATTGGGACGCTACGTCTAGTCGCCCCAAATCTTACTCAACAAGCTTAAAAAAATACCGACCATCAGTTCATAGTTATTTCAGTAGAGAACGCTCTGTGGTCGCAGAAATGAAGGCCAGGTAATAGGATACCACACAAACTGCAAAAAGCACTGCAAAGCAGCCAATCCACTCCTTGAAAAAAAAAAAAACCTCGCCTTATAATATTTGGTAAGTCATGGCCAGTTCTGATTTGTTGCAACGGGTGATTTAAAGGGCTGAAATTTGTCCCTTGCTAATTAGCGCTTTAACTCTGTTTACTCCTCCAGTCTAATATTTTAAAAACTCCTACACTTTCATCCCCTACTGCCTGCTTATTCACTGCTTTTATAATTTCCCTCATTTTGGTCCAGCAGTCGCAACGTCCAAGAGGAAGTGCTTCATCATTTAGAAGTGGAGAGCAGTGTACAAATCTTTTCACAGTGGAAACGCTTTGGCTTCCAATTCTGAATCTGAAAGCATAGCCCCTGACCTGATCTCGTAAATTCTTTCAGAAGATTAAACGAACGTCAGGATCGCCTGCAGAATAACCACGAGAAAACGCACTTTTTGAATGAACTGGAAAAGCCGCTTATTGGAGAAATAGACTGCTAGCGATCCTAAAGCCTAGTTACCCCAACTAATCGCTGTATTTACTAATGCATTTTCATGCTTAGCGTTTCACCCCCTCCTCCCCTCCCCACACGTTCCAAGCACCCTATGATTACGATGAAGTATCATAACATCTCTTTTATAATTATTCAGCGATTCCAAGCAGACGCTTTCGTTCATCCAAATTATTGCCAATTCGGTAAACTTTCTGCACCATCAGTGTCGACGCTTCGGTAGAATAATTCCCCACTGCAACAGTACCAAGCAGACGCATTTCCCGCTGAAACAACACCGGATGAAATAAAGAAATCAATTTTCATCAAAATGCCATTCATTTCTGTAGCTGCCCGATATTTCCAGTTCATCCAGTACGACAAAACGGTGCAGTACGATGAAGCAACACCTAATCAAAGCATTCAAGTAATGAAAGTCAGTCAACAAGGCTCCCAGATTAACGGAACGGATTCTTCCGCCTTGATATGTCGTGAAACGTTAAACGTTGCTATGTTTGTGTATCCAACGGGTTTCATCAAAAGCCGCGGAAGAGATCCTTTTTTCCTCTCCAGCCAATGCGCAGCGTCGGCTGTCTATGAAGCCGGCAATAAGGCATGAACATCCAATATTCTACTTTGACGATCATAAAAAACTTCATATGAACATTGCTGCGGTACTTTTCTAGACTTTTTAATCTCCTTTCCAGCAGCATCTATGAGAAGAGCCACGAAGTTAGCCCCGGATGAGTGGTACGTATATCTGGTACGGATGGTAGGTACACGACTCAAGAACGGTAAGTGTGGCATAGTTATGCTCTGGCATGTAGGTGCATAGCAGTGCCGCTCCGGCGTCCAATTTTCAGTATTGACAGTCGGATTGTAACAGTAATCCTGGTAAGCTGGGTCACCATTTCAAATCAGAAGCGCTGAAGATGAAATTTTCGCTAAGTTTGTAACGCGTTATCAAACTGTCCCATAAACTCCTTTGCATTCGCTCTCTTTGAGAGGCAGAGACTCCCAGAAGTGGCTCGAAAAATTAATGACTGTATGTATATGCGCAATTACTACCAGTCGAAGTAACAGAAATATTTTCGACGAAGGAGAATGTCATACATCAGAACTTGAAGTAATGACAATAGAAACTGTAAAGCCTGCCACAGCTACCACCAAGGAGAGAACAAGAAACGTCTTCAACTTTTATTTAAATAACGAAAGTATATGTCATTCTGTTGTGCGCTGCCGATAAACTGATAAATTGGTAAAATGGAATGGACAAACAAACCTGAATATATCGCTCAATCTCCGAGTCGCTAACGTCGTAGAACAATACAGCAATAAACGAAATACTCAGCAGCACATCGAGTTTCGTATTCACAACCTCCTCCGATGTTTCCGGAATAAGAGCAGTTGCTTGCAGCAAACTTCTAAAAGCAGTTGAAAATAACAAAAACTGCGCCAACTAAAATGGTTTCATCGGATGCTGGCAAAACAGCTCCGAAGGATCTCACTTTTTGCGTAGCCGCAGGCGTACCCTGCAATTCATCGCTTGACGAACAGTCTGTTTGTTTCCATCACTAATGAGAAACACATCAAGCAACCTTCACTCGACTCCTCTATCCGTAACGGCTAGATCCCACAATTCTGCTTTTAACAGCCGGTTGTCATAACTTTCAAAAACCGATACTGAACAAGTAAGCACGGTTCAATGACTCCATATTATGACGACATTGGTGCTGCTGTGAAATATGTAACAATCAACACCCCTTCCGCAAAAATCCTCTGCCTGAATACTGTGAAGCAAATTTATCCCTAAGCCGAAGAAAACAGCCGGTTTCTTCCGTGTTAACACCATTTAACTATAATCTAGCCACGAGCTTACCAGCACTTTTTTGTGCCACCTTTCCGTAGTGCAAAAAAGCACTCTCGCTAGAAAATCAGAAGTTCAAACGTACGTGAAAAGAGGCAAAGAGATATTGTAAAATCGCTTCTTCTCCTCTTTGTTGTCATAATGTCGGAAAACGAGGCTCAACTGAAAAAAAAAAAAAAAAAAATCAACGTAATGAGCATAGATGTGTCCAAATAGAGGAAGTGCAGATTTCACGATTTTTGTTCCATTTTTTAGTTAGTAGCTACAATAATACGTGAAAATCCAGACATTATACATGAAGAGAACGCGTGCGCACGCTCAAAACCCCAAAACAAATAATAATTCCCCCGGCCAAAACATTCACGGAGTCGCACGTGATATCCACGCAAATGGAAAGGCGCGGTCACACGTACGCAAGCGACATTATGCTAAAATTTCAGCCCCCTAGTTTTCGCGGTCCCCGAAATAGTAATTTTCTTCGCCAAAACTTTCACAGGGTCATACATGATACCAAGGCGCGCGAGCGAGCTTATCTTAAATTTGCTAGATTTTGGGGGATGGGACGTCTTAATATCTCAGTTTCCTAGCGTTCGTGGTTCCCAAGATAATAATTCTCTCCGCCAAAACTTTCGCAGGATCATGCGTGGTACCCGGAAGTAAATGAAGGCTGAGTTTAAGTCCGCCGGACCGCACGTGAGTGGGGAAAATCCTATTAAGATTTAAGCCCCCCAAACTTCTCCGACTCCTAGGTTGAAATTGCCGGATAAAACGTGCTTGGTACCCACACAGAGACACCCACACGGTCTCAACAATATGGGTTTTGTGTAAATGCTGCAGCACAAGACGCATAAAAACCGTTCGCCGTGCAACGCTAAAACCATGCATGGAAGGAAATTGGCAAAAGCATCAAAGTACGCTTTTATAGTTAAAAGACTCTGATTGCCCGATTGTAACTGGAGGAGCGGTGGAGGGATTATGTCCTGACAAACAGTAAACGCGCATGTTCAAAAACTTGAACTGGCTGATAATAAAATTTTACCATGTGGTAAGTGTAGTAAATGCTGAACTGATAATGTGAAAGCCAGCGTGATGTTGCAATTGGAGTGATTTTCACCAAAAATTTCAACCATTCTTCGCATATGCAAATTTTTTCTTGCACTTCGGCTGAGTTATTGAACTTATACGAGAAGACATTATCCACCAGTGAGATATCATCTGCAATAACACAGATAAAAACAAATTCAAAATTTACATACCTTCAACAGAGTTTTGTTACACAACCCCAATGCACTCGTCCTGTTACACAATCCACAGAGTTTCTTGCAAAACAGACAGCTCAGTGGATAAGTTATCATGATATTACAATACTTTGTGAATGCACAACAACCAGTTAAATCATTGGCAACGCACACCAGGCAGACCCGTGCAATCATGCGTTTTTACAGTACTTCGTCCTGTAGTAAGGACCCTTGGGACCCAGCTAGCAAGAATTTGGGACATACTGGTGCTCGAACATCAGGAAGTTAACTGTGCACCCGGACAGCGAACATTCGATTAAAATTTCAGCTTTCCAACTTCTCTGGTTCCCGAGTTAGCAAATTTCCTACCAAAATTTTTAACGGGCCTGCACTACTCAGAGCTGGGGGTTGAATTTGAAATCTTTAAGCTGCACGTAAGCTGGAAACAACCCCTTAAAATTTTAAACAACTCCTTAAACAACCCCACTTTTCTAGTTCACGAGTTAGCGATTTTCCCGCCAAAAACTTTCACGGAGCCGCACATGAGGACCAGACACATCTGGAGGCTGAATATGAAATCTTTAAGTTATATGTGGGCTACGAACATCCCCTCAAATGTTCAGCTTTCTGGCTTTTTTAGTTTCCGAGTTAGCGATGTTCCCCCCCCCCAAAATTTTCGTGCGCTTGTACACGGGTCCCAGGCGTGCATGGGAGTTGGCGCCGCGGTCCTAAGGTGGCACTTGGTGAATGAATCCAATGGCAAAATTTCCAGCGCCGAAGTTTGCCTGGTTGTCCAGTTAAAAGACTCGGACACACGGACACACGGACACATACACACACACACACACACAAATACACACCGGCGTCGTCACAATATGCAATTTTCCCATTTGCATCTATGCAAAGACGCACAATTCTCCGGCGACCCGCCAACGGATAGCGTTGGTTGATACTAAAAACGTTCATCCACTTTTATACTGGTCACGATTTACTTAACCCTTTGAGTCCACGAAGAAAGCCTGGAATGGCCGGTTGTCACACACTGAATGTTCCGTAACATTAGACAACTTCGACTTCCGCAACTAGAACAAACTTCAACTTTGACATCGCAGCCTTTGCCAAGGCTAATTTACACAACCCAAGTTAATTTCTGCGTTCGTCACAAAGAAATTTGGGATCGATGAAGCTAGAGAATAACATATCGCGGACCGAAGGTTGAGTGAATTATTTGTCGCATGCGCCCATCAAAATAAATGCCCCGAAAAGGTGGAAGTGAACAAAAAAATCAATTTTCTGGGGAAAAAGATTACCTTCCCTCCTCCATTTAATGTGTTAAAACAAATTCTACATACAATAATTTCCATCCTCTTTTCCTTCTTCAGTGAGAGGCACAGATTCGAAACCTCATCATCAGGAATCTGACTCATGTACAACTGACTCCTCTTACCTACTGTCCCATAAATAAGAGTTTATATGAACGATTTTAGGAGGACGGGTAGTGGAGTGTGTTTCCAACACCAAAAGAAGGCAACTTATGAAAAATTTAACCGAAATCTGAAACTTCAGGCAAGTATAAAGTTTAAATACAATGAACGCCCAAATATCGCAGAGTGTGAAACTAACCGATATCGAACGACTCGTTGTTATCAATGGCCTCTTGCAATTTTTCAAGCGCTTCATCATTTCGCTTGTGCATTGATGCCGTAAAAGCTTGGTGTAGACAGCTATTGGGTGAGGCATCAGCACATACATCAGCTGGTTCTGGCTCTGAGCAATTATAATTTCGATGCCAACACATATAAACAATTGGTTTCTTTGTAATTTTCAAAATAAGAGTACAGAAATTGCATTTCTTGGTCGTCTCGTTCATCGTTTCATGGGTGAACTGGTACTGGTACCAGCCTGTTTCTCAGCAATCCTTGAAACACCGGTTCATCGACAATTCTACCAAGCTTTGGCTGTTTTTGCCATGCGTTACCCAACCAGGATAAACCGGAGTTTCTGTTTGTATCATAAAACGAATAAGGACGACAGCTCTGTCTTTTCGTTTTAACAACTGACCACTGCTAATGACCGGGTAAAAATACAAGACCCTATTTTTATACACCAATTAACACCAGTCAATTCTCTGAATCTACGTTCGCGGAAAATGAACGAACTTTTCAAAAAAAAAAAAAAACAAATGACATTATTAACAAATCCTTCCATTATCTGAAACCCATAATTTTACCTAAATACATGTTGTCCCATTTGGTAATTAATCAATGAGCGCTGCACATCAATGAATGGTAGCCATTAGGTGAAAGATGATCGTAGACATTTCCACTTGGTCTCAGTGTGGTTTCAACGGCATTTACCAAAATTCGGCTCAGCCGGCATCATACAAGATTTGCGAAAAATTTTTCCTGACGATGACGGGTACCGCAGTACCTACGACGAATGGCGGAAGTTCGGACGTGGGGGAGGTGGTTTGCCGCGGATTTCATTCAAGGCAGAGGAGGGAGGCTACGATAGATGAGCCTAACGGCTATAGCGCAGATTCCTTGCCGGTTGGCTAAGTCACGTACATTTGGGAAATGAGGATGGCAGATGGAATAAATAGCGACGTGCACCAGGGCATCCAGTGTGATCATGCGTTCTGAGCAATTCCGTTCACCGAACGATTGCCAGCTAATGACTTTCACTGCTTTGCACTTTGGTCCGTGCAAAAATAGTTAAAATGTTGTCTGGTTCTTAGGTTGCGGAATTTCTCACTAAAAATTTCACGCGCACGAGATAATAATTTCTCCACCAAAAATCCCACGGGGCTGTATGTGGTACACAGGGGTACGTGAAGGCTGAGTTCAAATTTGCGAGGTTGTACGTTTATAGGAGAAATCACCCTAAAATTTGAAATTCTCAAATTCCGCGACTGCCCTGCCGAAACTTTCACAAGGCCAGAAGTGATGCTCGACCGCACGGGAAGCTGAATTTAAAATTGCATGCAGACAGAAAACATTACCATAAAATTTCAGCTTTCTGGCTTTTATGGTTCTCGAGATAATAATTTCCCCGCCAAATTTTCACAGCGCCGTAGGTGATACCCGGGAGCGCAGAAACGCTGAATATGAATTTGCGAGGTCGTGCGTGAGCAGGGGTCATTACTTCAGAATTTTAGCTTCCTGGATCACGTCGTCCCTGAGATAATAATTTATCCGCTAAAACTTTCACGGAACCGCATATGTTATCCGCGGTCACGGGAAGGTTAAATTTAAATTTCCTAGGTCACGCGTGAGCAAGGAACATACCCATAAAATTTCAGCTTCCTAGCTTCCGTAGTTCCCGAAATAATAATTTATCCGCCAAAACTTTCATGGGATCGTAGGTGGTACCTGAGAGCGCGAGAACGCTGAATTTGAATATGCAAGGTCGAACTTGGGTAGGGGCTATTACACCTTCAGCTTCGTATATTCAGTAGTTCCCGTGATAACTTTACCCACCGAAACTTTTACGAGACCATACGTGTTACCCGCGGGTACGGGGAGGCTGGATCCAAATTTGCAGGGTCACACGTGGGTGGGGAACGTTCCCCAAAATTTTCAGCTTCCTCGCTTTTGTGGTTCCCGAGTTGAAAGTTGCGGACAAGTTGCTGCGGACACATACCCACACAGACAACCCCGTGACAATATGCGTTTTATATTGCTGTTACATAGCACAAAACGCATAAAAAAGATGGAAGTGTGCTGCTTGCCGTGGGGAGAACGCAAATTAATGCAAACCCGAGCCTATGAATAAAAGCAAAAAAGCAAAGTCGAAAAAACTTGAACCTACAGATAAAAACGAAAAAATTAAGCCTCTGACCGGCACTTTCGCCCCCCTCCACTGTCCTGGTTCTGACCGTACTTCCTGAGTTCTATCTTGGCACGTATCTACCAGCACTCCCAAACCACGTCCAGTCACCCACGCCTCTTTCCAACCACGATAAAGTGCGAAGCAGTCCCGGAGAGCGACGCCGTGAAATAGTCTTGGCAGAGAAACCAGAGTGACGGCCAAGCGACGGTGAAGTAACTGCCAGTCTTGCTCGGCACTGGTGAGACACAGCAGCGGTGGAGCCGGCGGTAACTGTTGAAGCCCTACTGCTACAGCAGCTACCTCCATGGCTTAATAGGTGGAGGGATGAGAGTGGGATGGTTCGAGAAACGCATGGCCAATGGCCTGCTCTATGGCTACCGGCTATCCCAGTCCACCTTTCTCACCTCGAACCAAACCAGTAGCACAACATCCCCATCCCCTCCCGCCTGCCACATTCAAACACCCGCCATTCGGTGTTTTGCAACTGTGCTTGCTACTGGCAGAAAAAATTTTTCGAAAATGTGCATAACACCGACCGAGCCCAGCTGAGTTTGCTAGAACGACTCTCAGTGGCGACCGAGAAGAATTTCAGTAACTGCTGTAACTGTCGCTCAAATAATATTGGCAAAAGATCGAAAGAAATCTGGCACGGTCAACTGTATGCTTCCACTCTCAGTAACAGTAAAACTCAACGCCAGCAGTTTAAAGGGCCATGGTAACTTTATGTTAAAATCAAAATGCATACCAATGCTAACAGTGGAAGGCCCTGCTTCGTCAGCACTCGGAAATCTGCATTCCGGCGACGGCGAGCACTCCGGCGACGACATGCCCATTGATTCTATAAGAAACTACTAACCATCACCCATCTCTAACCTAACCAACTGTTCCATGACACTGTATCTGACTGCTGTCGCGCCTAACTTCTGACATACGGGCGGATGCATCCGCTGCTAAAAATTGTGCTCTACCACTCAACACTTCACTCTTGTCCCGTATTTGCCCCCGGCTTACCTAAACAGGATACTTTTTTGTCGCTCGTTCATCTATAGCTGCTTTGCGAAAGCGGCACCTTTTGAATAAACGGTGAAATCTCAAATCAAAATCTCGCATCGCACTAGTGACCAATTTTGCATTTTCGAGCAAGTTTTTAACACAGGTTTTCACATTTCCTTTTATAATTTTGGCCTCCTTTCTCGGAGTTCAAAAGCGGAACAAAAAACCTCTTTTTAGTTGCGCTATTAATTTCTAATAAAGAATGACAAGGAAAAAATTTGAGGATTTCAAAAACACTCCTGCGATGCTGGATAATTCCCTACTACTCATTATTATTATTCGTGACAGCTAACCAAAAGCGCAACAGACCTTCACAGGCTAGATTGATATTATCAGATTCCGATGGCCCCGTCACTCTGTCACGTATTCGCGTCCATACTGGATTTTCTGAAATTTTGCGACTTCAGAGACAGCTGTGTCAATGGAGTTGGCGTGTCATCAGGCAACACCGGAATCTCAAAAAAACTAATCAAGCGGATACAGTAGTCCTAGCGAATTTGGAAATTACATTTTAAAAAATTCAGCCTTTTCTGTTATCCTTCTGGCAATGGAAACGAAAAAAGGAGAGCCGCCCCACGCTTAACGATGGCGCAAATTCCAGAAAAAAACTATGTGGTTCATGAAAGCGAGACATTTCATTCCTTACTTTTTATTATTAATTTCCTTGAATTTCACTCTTATATGCATTGATATTTTAAAAATCCTCAACCCTCAAGTGACAAGATCTAGTTGCAGTGCTAAAGAGGAACGTATGCGAAGTGACCTGAAAACACTCGGCTGACTCGTTTTTATGCCCTACATATACTGTCGCCGCATTCATAAAAATATGATAGGAAAAAGCTAACCATCCAGAGTGCCGACAACATCTTTCGATGAAACGGAGGAAGGTGCGCTCCCCCTTTCACCGTCCGCACTTCCGCTTTCACCGTCCACGCTCCCTCGTTCACCGCCACTTTCAGTTGTCCCCTCGTCGCCCATACTTTCAATGCTGCTCATACTATTCAGCCAAAAATCGTTCGTGCCCAAAACAGAAGGTCTGCAAAGGTGCGCAGAATAACCAAACTTCTTCCCTTCTCATTCCCCGGCCCCTCTAGAGACAATTTCCGTATACAGTGACGATCATCAATCTCCTTATGTACCCCTGAGTGCGCCACAAAGAAAAACCTAAGAGGGAAAACGTTTGCTGCAAGCTTCCTAAATTAGAAATATTTGGTTCTTTTTTTCAGGAAAAAGTCACAGACTTCTCAGACAAAAAACACTAATATGCATGCTCCAAACATACGTTGGTTTCAATTACACATTTCCACAGAAACACGTACCGCGGACTCACGATGTTCCTGAGAAACCTCGGATCAACATGACATATGAACAGCTCACTTATCAGGGCCTCGAAGCGTAATTCTGGGTGGAATTAAATGAATTGAATAAAACTCCTCCATAAATCGGCCTCTTAGAAGCGCACTGGCATTCGGAAGTAACCCGAACAGTAACCACCCGCTGAAATCGATCTTCAACGGCCACATTATCTAAAGGTTGCTAAGAAAAAAGCAAATGGCAACTTCGACTCTCTGTGATGTGCCGCACAACTCAAACGAATGAACGGACTGGTCGCCTTATCGGCGGAGCCGAACCAAAAAAAAGCCAGGAGGGAGGGGGGG